CTAGATACTCGTCAATAGGTACGGCGTGAGTTTTTAATTTCTGATGGGATAATTGTGTTTAAGAAATAATAATTTCGTTTGTTCTAGTTGGGCTAATTTTTTTAAAAGAATTTTGTGATGTCATATTTACTTTGGTAAGAGTGATTGTGAAATTGACATATAAACAAACTCCACAAAATCACAAAATATATAAGAGATGTGAACACACAAATGTAAGGAACACAATAACACAAGTCGGATTTATATTTAATTGATAAATGTAGGATAAAAAAATCTCTTGAGCCGAATGTAGTATAAAGGCTAACACTCGTAGAATCGATATGATTGTTGGTCCACGGTTGCTCTTTGTCTCCACAAAATCACAAAATATATAAGAGATGTGAACACACAAATGTAAGGAACACAATAACACAAGTCGGATTTATATTTAATTGATAAATGTAGGATAAAAAAATCTCTTGAGCCGAATGTAGTACAAAGGCTAACATTCTTAGAATCGATATGATTGTTGGGCATGAGTTTCACCCACGAAAAAATGGGTCCAGTCTAGGTGACATTTCGGCTCATCACCACAAAACCCAATTCAAAAGGGATTTGGACCTAATCATAGGTGTAATTAATGTGAGTTACTACTGACATTTACCTATAAAGTATAAATAGGGACCAAATCTTATGGTTGAGGGAATTAATCTCTTTGAGTATAGAACAATGGACCCAAAAGCGCATCGTTTAGACCTCTAACTCCGACACTGAAAGTTTTGACCAATCATTATCGCCGGAAAAGATCTAGTGCACGAATACATCAACGAGAGACCAAGTCCTTTTCCGCACAGAGCAAAGCGATTGAGCCCGGTAAACACTCCCGACTAGACGACCTCCTGAGCTCCTGGTCTGATCTGCTACAAAATCGGAGCTCGGCAAGACGATTCTGATCTTATCACACGATTATATTAAGTAGTATAGACTTTGTAACACCACCTAATTTTCCTCTTTCGAGTGTTGTATTTTCGGGCTAAATTTTTCTCTATATTATAAATATCGAACTACTCCTTGGTTCAATAATGACAATACATACTATTACAATGACAAAAAAAAATATTGCATCCAATGGACATCAAATTCTTTGAACCAATCTCGAACTTTTCCATTTTCTTCTCAAGATTTTAACACTTCATATAGAGTCTATAATGTTAACATTAGTATGTAATCAATGGTTTTGACAGTGTTCTAAAATACGATATATGCTAGTCGGCGGTGGACCACTGTATAGCGTATAGACGTATACGCGGACGTTTATGCGGGATATATACGGTGGATATTTTTGCATATTTATATATAAATATACAAACATATTTTGTTTTAATAGGTAATAATTTTTTTTTATCATGAATGCTATAAAAAAAAACTTAAATAATTAACATTAACATAGTAGTTTTAATTCAAATAGTAAAATGACATAGTTGAAAAATTGTTTCAAGTAACAATAAACATAACTATATCAATTATATTTTTGGAAAAATGTCAAAAACATAGTTTATTTGAAACTTTTGGAAAATATACTTTTCAAAACTGTAAATTTAGTTATTTAGTTATCGTATACATAAATATAATTTTTTCTATTTAAAACTACGTATAGCATAAATAAAGTACATCAACCCACTGTATAGTGCCTGGACGCCTAGGCCGTATTCAGAACACTGGTTTTTTATAATGCATCCAGGCATAATTATTATTGAATTCTTTCTAAACATTAATATTAACACACGTCTAATACTTTACTCATATGAAGTTTTATGTGATGCCTATTTTTTGCATTCTATCTGTTGGCATTTTTTCCGATCCATAAAGTTTTAATTATTAATTGAGCAATTAATAACCGAATCAGGTCGTTGAATACATATTATATACAATTATTTTTGTTTTAATTAACCAACTGTTGTCTTCTATCTAGATCCTCCAACTTTGAAAAAGTTTTAGACAACTATACATTCGTATCAATTTCCACTTTGAAAAAATGTTAGTTGGTTAGTAGTAAAACGACACTCTAATTAAATTACTTTTCACTGCTTATGTCTTTAATCTTGTTTAACCCAAGATTCCACAGAGGAAAACGAAGTTTGACTTGACTCTTTCGAGATTGTCAATGCTCTATTAATGTTCCTCGTTGTGGTTCGATTGGAATCGTCTTTTTTTTAATCAATCCCTAAAATTGTAATTGTCTTGGTTGGCAGAGAAG